TGGAAACAAAGGCACTGGATATGTTGCTTGGTTACACATTCTTTGATCTTGTTTTGATTGCTCTCATGCTCTGTGGAGTCCCTGCTGATGTATGATCCATTGGTTGAATTTATATTGCTTACTATCATCTATATGGAGGTCTTTTTTGTATTTAGCTTATTGGATTTATCATATACATAGGAGCTATCTTTGAAGGGTAGCCCACAATGAATGGCTCTCGAGGTACATCACATTGCACCAATTACTAAATTCATTTTATGTTTAATGCTATATTTTTCTTGATTACTGTTTTTTGTGCAGGTGATGAAGTCTATGATGCAGAAACATGACCATCTTAATCTTACTTTCTTCATGTTTGTCTGAACTATGGTTGAGGATATTGTTTTCTTCATAGAGGATATGCTGACTTGTGTTCATTTTTATCTCCATATTAGTGGAGAATGTGTAAATTTATAAGAGATGCCTTTGTTGAATTATTAATATTAGATTTAAACCTAATGCCTTTGTTGAAACCTCCATTTACTGTTTTGTAAGCTTTAAAGTTGAATGTGTTAATTTATATAATGCATTGCATTCAGCCTCATATTATTTGATGTTGAATTCTCCCAATTTATGTAATAAGTGGTTTGAAAATGCATTTTGAGCTCTAAAAAATTATTTATCATGCTATTAAATTTTGTACAACATTATTTCAGTTACTATAATTTTTGACAAATAATATTGTCATATAAACAAACATGTGATAAAAAAAATGTTGTCACAGTAAAGTCATTGACGCATAAATTTTTGTCACCGTTAAAATTATGAGAAAATAATTTAGTCACTATTTACAATTTTGACAAAATCAATTTTATCATAATATATTGGCTCCGTTTGGTTCAAAATTTTGAGTTTTTGGGAAAAGTTTTTTGAAAAAAGTTAAAAAAAAGTTGAATTGGGCGGGTATTACGATGTAAGAATTATAAATTAATAAAATACCCTCTATGTTTATTTATTTATAAAAACACCCCTATAATAAAACATTAAAAGTTAACAAAAACACCCCCAACCAACCGTCAAATATGGACAGCCGGCCACAACCGCCGGAGGGTGGCCGAAGTCACCGTATCGATGCATGACCGGCTAGATCTTGCCGGTCGTGCGCCGATATGGCCGACAAAGGCCAGGTCTGGCCGTTTTTGCTCGTCAACGATGGCCAACAAACGGTCGTCGTTGATGGTCAACGACGACCGTTTGTTGGCCGTCGTTACCGACTTTTACGGCCAAAGATCTGGCCTTTTCCGGCCAGATCCACCATGGATCTGGCCGAAAAAGGCTAGATCGGCTCACTACCGGCTAGATTCAGCCGGTAGTGTGCCATCCTAACAGATTCCGGCCATTTTCCGGCAATGATGGCCGGAATTTGGTAAACATGGATTACTGGGGTATTTTTGTAATTTTTAAAAAAATATTTAGGGGTATTTAATTAAATTATCAAATTTAAGGGGTTTAAAAAAAGTTGAATAATATTGGGAGTAGTATTCCCAAAAATCTGAGTTTTTGGGTATTTTACTGTTTAACTTTTTTGGGAATACTAAAAGTAGTATTCCCAAAACTGAAACAAACGAAGCCATTATTTTCTCACCATAAATCTTATTATTTGGTCTTTAAATGTAAATCAATTATGACAAAATATTACTTATATAGATAAAAATTACCTTCTTTTGTTACAAATAATTTATCACAATAAATTAGTTTAAAGTGACAAATTATTATCATCACAATAAATAATTAAGCTATGGTGACAAAACGCTTTTTTGTCACCATATACTTAAGAGTATGAGCTTAATGTGACCAACCTAGTGACCAATACAATTTCTCACATTAGCGAAATGGTCACAATTTTGATATTTATAGTGACAAATTATTTTATTGTAAGAAGCCTAAATTCTTGTAGTGGATCAAAAGCCCCAACATCTCGACCTTCAATTGTTCGCTGATCATCATCTTAAATTCTAGGGTTTTGGTTGAATATGAAAATTCTAAACCCGGCTCAGCAAAGCTTTCGAGTCCGGGTTAAACCGACTGGGCCAGGCTAGGTTTTAAAACAGTGCCAATAAGTAAACAAACACATATCATATTTTTTAATCCAAATAGGATAATAGAATAATAATCCAGAATAGTGTAATAAACAAGGGCTTAAACTTTTCATCTCTTCACATCACATGTGATTGCACCGAGCATAGCATATGACCCAAGGTAGGGGCATTAAAGTAATTAACTATGACTCTGATAAAACTTATGAAAGTATCTTAACAATAGGGGGTTCTGTGTTATTACCCATATCTGAGGCAGTTAAGTTTGACAAAATCTCGGGGGGTTAAAAAAATTCTCCCAAAAATTCGAGAGAAGGATTAATGGGCCGGATGATCATGATTAATCTCTGCCCAAACTGAATTCAAACGGCGGTAATCATTTCATCTTGCCAACCAAAACCCCGTCAGATCCAGCCACATGGATAAACACACGACATATCTTGATCGTCAAATTGTCACTCATGTACGATGAATCAAATCACGCTTGTGAACTAATAAAACTCTTTTCCATTTCTTCAACAAATCATCCCGCGCAAAACCCTAGCCAATGTAACCCTAAAACCTTTTCCATTCATTTCATTTTCTCTAAGATCCCTAACATAATTTTCATATATATTCGCTTAATTGAGTCGGTTTATTTCCTTTTCTATGAGATTTATTATGAGAGCTTGATTAGAAATAAATCAATTTTTTTTTATTTAATGATTTTGAATAACGGGTAGTTTCGATTGTGAACTGTTTTTGAGTTTCAACAGTAGGGTTGTTTTGTATTTGTAATTTGTTTGGTATCAGGATTTGTGTTTTAGATCATATGTTAATCTTAACATTGTCCAAAATATTTAGGTGTGCATATTTATGTGAATTCCATTTGTGTTCGCCCCTAGTTTAAACTGGATATATAACATTGTCCAAAATTTTTAGATGTGCATATTTATGTGGATTCCATTTGTGTTCGCCCCTAGTCAATTGCCGGCAAAAGCCAGTTGTTGTTGCCACCAGTTTTTTATTTTTATTTTTTGTCGATTCACTCACCAGAAATCAACCTCATCACCACTATTGAACTCACCAACACTTTCTCTTCAAAAGCCCCAACATCTCGGCCTTCAATTGTTCGCCGATCATCATCCCAAATTCTAGGGTTTTGGTTGAATATGAAAATTTTAAACCCAGCTCAGCGAAGCTTCCGGGTCCCGGTTAAACCGACTGGGAAAGGCTAGGTTTTAAAACAGTGCCAATACGTAAACAAACACATATCATATTTTTTAATCCAAATAGGATAATAGAATAATAATCCAGAATAGTGTAATAAACAAGGGCTTAAACTTTTCATCTCTTCACATCACATGTGATTCCACCGAGCATAGCATGTGACCCAAGGTAGGGGCATTAAAGTAATTAACTATGACTCTGATAAAACTTATGAAAGTATCTTAACAATAGGGGGTTCTGTGTTATTACCCATATCTGAGGCAGTTAAGTTTGAGAAAATCTCGGGGGGTTTAAAAATTTCTCCCAAAAATTTGAGAGAAGGATTAATGGGCTGGATGATCATGATTAATCTCTGCCCAAACTGAAATCAAACGGCAGTAATCATTTCATCTTGCCAACCAAAACCCCGTTAGATCCAACCACATGGATAAACACACGACATATCTTGATCGTCAGATTGTTACTCATGTACGATGAATCAAATCACGCCTACGAACTAATAAAACTCTTTCCATTTGTTCAACAAATCATCCCGCGCAAAACCCTAGCCAAGATAACCCTAAAACCATTTCCATTCATTCATTTTCTCTTAGATTCCTAACATAATTTTCATATATATTCACTTAATTGAGTCGGTTTATTTCCTTTTCTGTGAGATTTATTATGAGAACTTGATTAGAAATCAATCAATTTTTTTTTTTTATTTAATGATTTTGAATAACGGGTAGTTTCGATTGTGAACTGTTTTTGAGTTTCAACAGTAGGGTTTGTTTTGTATTTGTAATTTTTTTGGTATCAGAATTTGTGTTTTAGATTATATGTTAATCTTAACATTGTCCAAAATCTTTAGGTGTGCATATTTATGTGAATTCCATTTGTGTTTGCCCCTAGTTTAAACTGGATAACATTGTCCAAAATTTTTAGATGTGCATATTTATGTGAATTCCATTTGTGTTCGCCCCTAGTTTAAACTGGATATGTTTTCTCCTCTTCTCGAATTTATGAGGAGCTTTTAAAAAACTAAGGTGGCGTGCGGTTAAGAATTATGAAATTTTTTTCTCTCATAAAGCAGACAATACATGCTCGGTCACCATTTATGTTTTCACAATCCGAAAGAACAGAAATAGACCTTTTTTTACTGCACCCAATTTTGAAGGGAGAAGGCTATGCACCCCATAATTCCACTGTTGTTATGCTTGTTCTTGTTAGTAGTGCAATGAACTTTGCAATGTTTTCCTTCTGGTTTGTTCTGTCTTAATTTTAGCTTAATTTTTTTAATTATATATCTTTCTTTGTGTAAGCAAGGGTTGCATATATGAATTCTGGATTCTTTTACCCCTTTTAATCCTACGTCTTTTTGTTGAGAAAATTGACAAAAAGGTGATGCTGATTTTGATCATGTACTTTTTGAAAAAAAATAAACAAGTTATATAACCTTATTTCTGGTTGAAATCATATGTATTATGGGTTAAATATTTGTATATCAAGTTTTTGTTTTACTCATTTTATAATCATTTATGCAATGTGATATATGGCTGTTTATTTAGTTGTTTTTGGTGCTGCTGTTGCTGATTTCAACATAGTCATGCTACTAAATGACCTTTTTCATGCACTAATATGTCCACTTAATGGATCTATAAAAATGTTTGTTATTTGTTTTGGGCTATTATTGTCCAGTTTGTTGAGAAGTATTTGGTTTATTTGGTTTCAGGGTTCTGTAGATAAACTGATAAAATATCAAGTTGCCCATAATAAGTATTGTCCCAGAAGGATTTGAAAGGAAGAGCAGGGTGTTTCTTGAGGCCTTTTTACATTCTGAGCTCTTACTGCTTACAACAATGTCGGTGACGGCAGGTGTTAGTGATACTATAATTGCCATTAGGGATAAGCTTAGAGGGAAGATTGGGCAAACAAAGGTTAAAAGGTATTGGCCTGGTAAAGCTCCTGAGTGGGCAGATGATATTGATGAAGATAATGATATTAGGATGGCAAGGGCTGCTGCCCTTGAAAAAGCTTTCCCTAGTCAAGAAGATTCAGATGTGGCCAAGAAGGATGATCCTAGGCTACGTCGTATGGCTGAGAGTAGGATAGATAATCGTGATGAGATTAGAGCTGATCATAGGCGCATTCGGCAAGCTGAGATTGTATCGACTGAGGAAGAGGAAAACAAGAGGCAAGAAGGATTGGATTTGGAGGAAGAGGATGAAGATGCATTGGAGGAGAGAAGGAGAAGGATCAGAGAGAAGTTACTTCAAAGGGAGCAAGAAGAAGCAGCTCTACTTCCAGAAGAAGAGGAGGAGGCAGTAGAAGAAGAGGAGGAAGAGGAATCTGAGTATGAGACTGACTCAGAAGAAGATCATACCGGTATGACTATGTTGAAGCCTGTGTTTGTACCAAAGCAGGAGAGAGATACCATAGTGGAGCGTGAGCGGATTGAGGCTGAAGAGCAAGCCATTGAGGAGTTAGCAAAGAGGAAATTGGAAGAGAGAAGGGTTGAGACAAAACAAATACTTGTTGAGGAGGTTCGAAAGGATGAAGAAATTCAGAAGAATTTGGAATTGGAGGCTAATATTGCCGATGTGGATACTGATGATGAGCTTAATGAGGCGGAGGAGTATGAGGCTTGGAAAGCAAGAGAGATAGAAAGGATCAAGAGGGATAGGGAGGCTAGGGAGGCAATGGTGAAGGAGAAGGAAGAGATCGAAAAGGTAAGAAACATGACAGAAGAAGAGAGAAGAGAGTGGGAGAGAAGGAATCCAAAAGCTGGTCCACCACCGAAGCAGAAGTGGAGGTTTATGCAGAAATATTTCCACAAGGGTGCCTTCTTCCAATCAGATGCAGATGACTTTGCTGCTACTGCTGGATCAGATCAGATTTTCCAACGTGATTTCTCTTCCCCAACTGGAGAAGATAAGATGGACAAGACCATATTACCAAAGGTCATGCAGGTCAAGCACTTCGGTCGTAGTGGTAGAACCAAATGGACCCATCTTGTCAACGAGGATACAACTGATTGGAACAATCCGTGAGTTTAATTCTCCCTTTTGATTATCTACTTTTATATATTTATTCCAAGTTGCTGTTCACGAACCATCCACCTTTCCAATTTCTGATTGCTGCATACTTGATTAAATTAGCCTTTTCTTTTAGATTTTGCTGCTGCATGTAAAGAAACCTGGAGTGTTACTTCCTATGAGTTTAATTAGGAAGTTGGCGAAAACATTTTCTAATCACTAAAAAGCACAATAATAAATATACAAGTATTATGCTGATACTGTTCATTTTTGTTTATATGTCCATGAACATGAGTTTAGCTAACATACTTGAAATGCATATTAGTTTTAATCTTAAAACTGTAATATCCTTTATTTATAATTTTGTTATTAATTTTTGTTGAAGAAATCTTTGTTGGAGTTTTTATGAAAATATTATTTTTGAACTATAATATTTTGCTTGAATGAGTGATAATAGAAACTTAGAGAGCGAGAGAAGAAGAAATTTGAAATAGAGATGACAGTTTAGTCACTTGGGGTTCCAGATGATTTTTGAATTCAGTTGTGCTGTTTCTTAAGAGATATTTCTACTCAGATATTGGTTTTTTCTTTCTAAAGGAAACTAATGTTGAATGTTCAGCGAAAATAGGTGATGATCTAGATCCAACTGGACAATATGAGTTTTTTTTAAGGGGCAAAAATATTCTGTAAACTTAAATTGTAACTATAGTGGATGTGGTAGAGATGATCTATAGAAATAATTGATTTATGTTTGTCTCCAGATGTGTCACCCTTCTGGCTTAAATTATTCGATGTTTTGCACCGACAAAAAAATAGAAAAAATTGGAAACTTAGTGGTATCTTGATATTTTGTTTATGTTATGAAATTTGGTTCTCTAACAATTCTTTACTCTATTGTCTGGTTGCTGTGCAGGTGGACATATAATGATCCTCTTCGTGCCAATTACAATGCAAAAATGGCAGGAATGAATGCGCCAATTGCAAAACCCAAGGGAAGCAAGAAGTTGAAAGATTGGGAGTCCCGATCGTAAGTTTATGCCCAGAGAAATCAGTTTTTATTTGACATTGAACTAGAGGAAACTGTAGTTGATACATGTTTGTGACCACATCTTTGCCCTTTCAGTTATGGCTAAAGTACATACGAAATTTATGTGCCAAGAAGAAACTTAATCCATAGTGAAGAAAGCTGTAAAATTGTTAATTTCCATTGGCAACATTTTCTTACCAGTCATGGAAGTCTGTTATCTGTTTTTTTGTTAATTCAACTCAAAAGTAGATCGATCTTATTTAATTCAATCTCCACCTCTTCTTTGTTGTCATGGTGAATACCTGTGCTATAGCAAATTTATTATCATGGTTAAATTAAGCTTAGTTTATGGATCAGCAATTGACGTTATGAGAGGAATATAGGCAACAATATCTATGTAGCAAGGAAGAAATTACTTCAATAAATTGCCAAAAGTCTCCCAAAAATGCTGTAATAAGCATTAAACAAATGAATACACATGGAGATGACATACAATATATGTGATTTGCATACACATTGTGATTGACAAATGTGTATACATTTATTTCACTAGAAAATTTTTGGTTAAAATTACATCTATATACATATGACCGGGGGTGTCTGGGTCGACTTACATGCACTTTAACTAGTCCTTCCGAATCTTGGAATTATCGGTCGGATAAGAGTTTTAGTGGCTACCCCTATTAGCAATCGAAGGGGGTGATAGACCTGCAATCACCAAGGGGGTGATGGACCTGCAATCACCAAGGGGTATAAACACAAGGCTAAAAGGGGCAAAGAAGGGAATCAAGTATTGGGATAGGTGACCAAGGATCAACATGAAGGACAACAAGGGAATCAAGCTGTGGAACAGATGGCTAATAATCAACATGAAGGGCAGCAAGAGAATCAAGTTGTAGGACAGATGCCCAATAATCAACATGAAGGACAACAAGCTGCAAGACAAGTGACCAGGAATCAATATGAAGGACAGGTGGTCTAATAGGTGGCCTGGGAGATTTTGGGGATTTGAGGAATCAACATGAAGAATGGGTGGCTTGACAACTGGCCTGGGTAGTTGTTAGGAATTGTGAATAAAAGGGTAGGACGTGTGTATGGGGGTATTCTGAATATTTGGGAAAAAGGGGTTTGGAAGGTACTGGCCCTCGAAGTCTAGTCGGCTCTTTCTTATTTCTGCATTATTCTTTTTGTACTGAATACTTTTTATGAGTATATTAATCCAAGTTGTCTTTTTCTTCTGTTATTTGATTGGTTGGATTATTACTTCTTGTTATTTATGGCTGGAAACATTGTGTACTATTGGAATTGCGGCTGCTTTATTGCTTTTATTCTGTGTTGAGAGTGACAAGATCAGAGGTACTCATCAATTGGTATCAGAGCTTAAGCTTACTAGGGCATGGTTAACACTAGGATGGAGGCGAGAGTTGACAATGTAGAGAGAGACATACCTAGGCTTGCTGAAAGTGTTAACTCCATGAGGGAAATTTTAGTGGAGATGCAGAATTGGATAAGACGAAAGGATGAGGAAGAAGAACTGCAACACCGACAAGTAGTGCTGGAAGAAGAAGAACACTCGGGGATAAGGAACCAACACAATGGCACAAACCAACTAGGAAATGAACCACCGCCACCACCCCCCCACTCTACCAAAATGGAGCTTACCAGTTAGGTGACAGACGAAATATGAGAGAATAGGGAGATCGAAGGCTGGAGTTGCCACTTTTTTCTAGTGAAGATCCTTACGGGTAGATATTTCGGGTGGAGAGATACTTCTCTATCAACTAAATAGCCGAAGAACACAAGGTCCAAGCCACGACGCTATGCATGGAGGGCGAAGTTTGGCGCTGGTTCCAATGGACAGAATTGAGGACGCTGATGGCGAGATGGCCAACGTTTAAGGTGGCACTTCTATAGCGGTTTAGCAGTGCCCAAGAAGTCAACCCCTTGGAGTTGATTATGTCAACTAAGCAAGTGGGCTCGGTGCTAGAGTACCGCCGGAGTTTTAAGGAGGTGGTAGTGCTGACGGTGTATGAGAGGGAGGAAGTCCTCACGGCAGCATTCCTCAATAGGCTCAAACCTGAAATTAAACTTCAGTAGCCCAATATTTTGGGCCAACCCGATTCTCTGACCCCTAAGTAACTCTCCTAGCCCAATGGGTTGAAGAAAGGAACCAACTTTTGGATGAGGCTAGAGTTGGATTGGACTGAATGGGAAAAATGAGAGGAAACCTTAGTGGGCCAGACCATTTCACTACTTCTTACATACTTGAAGAATGTAATAAAACCCAAACCCTTACTAATCAAATCCAAACCCAAACGCATGTGACCCAACCTACCACCATGCTCAGTCAAAGAAACCCAGCAACACCACCTCCTTTCAGACGTAGTTTTACCGAGGGTGTTTCAAGTTCAAGGTTCACTCCTGCAAACAACTCTTGGTCAACTCCATTTTGGCAAGATTTCCCCTTCAAGAAGCTGTTTGAAGCCAAGATTCAGAGGAAGAGAGAAAGGGGTCTTTGTTATTGATGTGACGCCAAGTTTACACAAGGTCATAGGTGTGGGGAGAGACAGTTTAATGTTATGTTGGTGGAAGAACCAGATGAAGGGGATGACAAGGAAGAACTGAATGAGGGATCAGAGAATGAAGAAAATTCAGCACCGCATGAAGCAGAGCTTTCGATCAATTCAATTGTGGGACTTGACGGGCCGAAAACCTTGAAGTTAAAGGGAAATGTTGGGGGAAAGGAAGTTATAGTTCTTGATGACAATGGAGCCTCTCATAATTTCATCCACTAGCAAGTGATAGAGGAGTTAAAAATTCCGGTAATTACCACAAAGCCCTTTGGAGTTAGAGTAGGCGATGGTTACCATGTTAGGTGTTGTGGAGAATGTAAAGGAGTTGAGCTGAATTTGCAAGGCATCACCGTGGTCCAAAATTTCTTTCCTTTTGAGATAAGTGAAGCTGATATTATTTTAGGCGTGGCTTGGTTAGAAACCTTAGGGGAGACTATGATTAATTGGATGACATTGGTTATGAAATTCAGCCTAACATATAAAGTGATCACTCTTAAGGGAGATCCATCTTTCAGCAAGACAATGGTGTCACTCAAGGGACTTCTCAAAACACTACAATCGGACGGCATAGGGTATTGGATCCAATTCAACAGCCTGCACTCATAGTTAGATAATAAAGAAGTGGAGGATTTAAGGGTCCTGGAACTGTTACAACGTCATGAGTCCTTGTTTGAAGCCACCCCTAGACTTCCACCAGAGAGTATCCATGACCATGCCATCAGATTGGAACCTGGCAATAGACCACCCAACATTCGGCCGTATCGATATCCTTACTATCAAAAAAATGAGATTGAATGCATATCAAGGAAATGTTGGTATTAAGCATCATCAAGCCTAGTAAAAGCCATTTCTCAAGCCTGATGTTATTGGTATGAAAGAAAGATGGGGGATGGCAGTTCTGTGTCAACTATAAACCCTGAACAAGATTACTACTCTTGACAGGTTCCCAATTCCAACTGTCGACGAACTGTTCGATGCATTAGGGGGGCCACAATCTTCTCCAAACTTGATCTTAAACCCAGGTACCACCAAATCAAAGTAAGGGAAGGCGACACTTATCAAACAACATTCAGGACACACGAAGGGCACTGCGAATTCCTAGTTATGCCATTTGGCCTCTCAAACGCTCCATCAACCTTTTAAGCCCTCATGAGCGACATTTTTAAACCTCACTTACGGCAGTTCATTTTAGTCTTTTTCGACGATATCCTCGTTTACAACACAAGCTTATGGGCTCATTTGATCATTTGGATACTACCTTTCAGATTTTAGAGCAGCATCAGCAGGTTGTTAATAAGAAGAAATGCAAGTTTGCATAATCACAACTTGAGTAGCTCGAACATTTAATTTCGGCTCAGGGGGTTGTTGTTGATCCTGCCAAAATAGAGTGTGTCCAAGCATGGCTGGTTTTGAAAGACATCAAGACATTATAGGGGTTTTTAGGATTGACAGGCGATTACCAAAAATTTGTGAAAAGTTACGGGGCAAGAGCAAGACCACTAACTAATCTCCTCCGCAAGAACGCATTCCACTGGACTGAATTAGTATAGTCAGCCTTTGAGCACCTCAAGCAACTCATGACTTCCTTTCCCGTCCTCACGATGCCAGACTTCTCAGAGACTTTTATCATTGAGAGCGATGCTTTGGACCATGGTTTGGGGGCTGTTTTAATGCAAGAAGGCCAACCTTTGGCATTCATTAGTCAAGGATTATCTCCCAAGTTTATATTGAAGTCAGTTTATGAAAAGGAGCTTATGGCAATAGTTTTGGCAGTTCATAAATGGAAACATTGCTTGTTTGGGTGACATTTCATTATTCGGACCGATCAGACGAGCCTTCATTACCTCAATGATCAGAGGCCGCAAGGAGAACAACAACAAAAATGGATTATCAAGCTCTTGGGTTTGGATTTCAAGATTCACTACAAGTCAAGCCTTGAAAATAAAGTTGCTGATGCTCTATCCAGACGAGAGGGCCTTATTGAGTATAATGTAATCTCCCTTTGTTACTTTGGAAATCGATAAGAGTGGGAAGAAGCTGTTCAGAAAGATGTAAAACTTCAAAAGATTTGTCAAGAATTGATCATTAACCCCATGAGTCATTCGCACTTCCGATTGGTGGGGAACCAATTATTTTATGATGATAGAATAGTCCTTCCACGATCCTGCTCTCAAGTGAAGCTTTTTCTCCAAGAATTTCATTCTTCACCAATGGGGGGTCACTCTGGGTTTTACCGCATTCTTCACCAATGGGGGCCACTTTGGGTTTTATCGCACTTATAAGAGGCTGCCTCAAGTAGTCTGTTGGAAGAGAATGAAGAGAGATATTCAACTATTTGTCTAGGATTGTCCTATCTGCCAACAGAACAAGAATGATTGTCTCAAGCATGCGGGATTGCTACAACCGCTACCTATTCCCTCTCAAGTATAGGAGGATGTCTTCATGGACTTCATAGTGGGTCTCCCAAGGGCCTATCGAGTCGACACCATCCTAGTGGTGATAGATCGTCTTACCAAGTACAGTCACTTCATTGTTCTATGCCATCCTTTTTTAGCCAAAGAGGTGGCTGCCCTTTTTCTCACCGAGGTAGTTAAACTACATGGATTTCCCTGAACCATTGTATCTGATCGGGACAACCTATTTATGAGCGGGTTTTGGGGAGAATTATTTAAATTGTTGGGTACCAAGCTCCACATGAGCACAACTTACCATCCTCAATCGACAGCCGAACTAAGGTCGCCAATCGATGTCTCGAGACGTACTTAAGGTGCTTCGTGAGTGATCAGTCCAAACAATGGCCTTGGTGGCTTGCTTGGGCTGAGTATTGGGTCAACACCACCTACAATAGATCAACGGGGATGACTCCATTCAAGGCACTATACGGCAGGGATCCATTTACCCTACTCAAGTATTCTGAATATAGCTCAGTAGTGGACGCCATGGATGAACTCCTATCTGAATGAAACTTGATATTGGAAGAGTTAAAGGGTAATCTGAAAAGGGCTCAAAATGCAATGAAAATGTACGCAGATGGTAAACGCCGAAAACTCCTATTGGAGACCGGGATTCAGTTTATTTGAGGTTGCGACCATACAGGCTAAAGTCTTTAGCATGGAGGGCTGATGAAAAGCTTAGCCCTCGGTTTTACGGTCCCTATGAAGTTATTGAAAAGATTGGGTCAGTAGCTTATAGATTGAAGCTTCCACCTACAGCCAGAATTCATGATGTTTTTCACGTATCACAACTGAAAAAAGTCTCTTCCCACCCCATCTTGGTGTTGCCTCTTCCGAAGTTCTTTGATGGTGAAATAGTACGCAACTTGAGAGTGACAAGAACAGAGATACTCGAACTCAGAACCTATTGAATAATACCCTAAGAGTCTCTATATATCCTATTAGAAAATATTTTTATAAACGTGTTTTAAAGAATAATTGAAAAATATAAATAAATCTTAAAGACACGGAAGGATTAATTTGCTTGGGATAGGCTTTCTCAAGCAAAGTGATGTCAGGTCACATTGACATGGATGCATGCATGGCATGCACATCATGGACTTAATCTTCATTTTTCACATTTTGCTTTGGATGGAAGGGACAATGTTTCATTATGAACTTGATCATGATCATACATGCATTTCAATGAAAAGTGTTGTAGTGATGTTATACTTCATCAAATTTTTTTCATAACCAATTTTAAATTTAATTTCCCACGTGTCAATTATTATGAAGTGAAATAAAACCTGATAAGATATGATAAGCTTAATAACTGTCCGTTTACCAAAACAGAAATTCTTAATAATGTTTTAAGGAAGTTGAGGCATTTAGCCAAAAAACACTGTATGGGCTTCTACGAAGATGGTGGGCTACTGGGCCCAAAATATGGCCCAGAAGAAAATCTGAAGTTGAAATGACAAGACAAAACCTGGTAAACATTTTTCAACAGTGAGAGTGAGATATTTCAGCCATCAAGATTTGTTTCCTCACAGATTCTGAAACTAAACTAAGCTTCAGCTGACCACATACACGATTATGTCTGCACCCGTTTCAATTCACTGTTCCACACTCTCAAAACCTTGTATTTATTCACTTTCTTCTTTAGCTTCATGCCCCAAACCCACTCAATTTCATCTTTCCAAGTGGCCTCTGCACCTGGGTTTCACTCCATTTTCGCCATGGAGTGGCCTTAAGCATCTGGGTATCTCACTCTCACCAAAGACAGTGAAGTTAGGTACTTCTTCTCATCCGCCCTTATGGGTTTGTCTTTTTTATTTACCTCTGTGTTTCTTTGCTCTTCTATTTTTTTTTCTTTTCCTTTAATGTAAATTTGGGGATGCAGAGAGGAATAGAATGTTTAAAGGAAGAGGCGTTCATGCTTCTTTGTTTGGAGTTGGAGCTCCCGAGGCTCTGGTTATTGGGGTAGTAGCTTTGTTGGTTTTTGGTCCCAAAGGTCTAGCTGAGGTGAGTTGGAGCTCCCGAGGCTCTGGTTATGTTGGGTAGTAGCACTTGTGGTTAAGTTTAAAATAGCAATTTTATTATTTAATGTTGTGTTCTTCTAATCTCAATTTAGTTATCCAAATAAAGGTTGCTCGGAATCTGGGGAAAACTCTACGTGCATTTCAGCCTACCATTAAAGAACTTCAGGTAGGTTTTATATTTTTAGTTTTCTTTAGGCTCATTTGAGAAAGATGATAGTGAAACCTGCCCGGATTTTTTTTTTTTTAAATTTTTTTTTTTTTTTTTTTTTTTTTTTTTTTTTTAGTTCTGGAAAAGAGAACATCGGATAAGGAACCAACACAATGCACAAACCAACTAGGAAATGAACCACCGCCACCACCCCCCCCACTTCACAAAATGGAGCTTACCAGTTAGTGACAACGAAATATGAAGAATAGGGATATCGAAGGCTGAGAGTTGCCACTTTTTCTAGTGAAGATCCTTACGGTAGATATTTCGGGTGGAGAGATACTTCTCTATCAACTAAATAGCCGAAGAAACACAAGGTCCAAGCCACGCGCTCATGGAGGGCGAAGTTTGGCGCTGGTTCCAAGTGGACAGAATTGAGGACCTGATGGCGAGATGGCCAACGTTTAGGTGGCACTTCTATAGCGGTTTAGCAGTGCCCAAGAAGTCAACCCCTTGGAGTTGATTATGTCAACTAAGCAAGTGGGCTCTGTGCTAGAGTACCGCCGGAGTTTTAAGGAGGTGGTAGTGCTGACGGTGTATGAGAGGGAGAGTCCTCACGGCAGCATTCCTCAATAGGCTCAACCTGAAATTAAACTTCAGTAGCCCAATATTTTGGGCCAACCCGATTCTCTGACCCCTAAGTAACTCCCTCTCCAGCATGGGTTGAAGAAAGGACCAACTTTTGATGAGGCTAGAGTTGGATTGGACTGAATGGGAAAAATGAGAGGAACACCTTATGGGCCAGACCATTTCACTACTTCTACATACTTGAAGATGTTAAAAACCCAAACCCTTACTAATCAATCCAAACCCAAACGCATGTGACCCAACCTACCACCATGCTCAGTCAAGAAACCCAGCAACACACCTCCTTTCAGACGTAGTTTTACCGAGGTGTTTTCAAGTTCAGGTTCACTCCTGCAAACAACCTCTTGGTCAACTCCATTTTGGCAAGATTCCCCTTCAAGAAGCTGTTTGAAGCCAAGATTCAGAGAAAAGAGAAAGGGGTCTTTGTTATTGATGTGACGCCAAGTTTACACAAGCCATAGGTGGGGAAGACAGTTTTAATGTTATGTTGGTGTAAGAACCAGATGAAGGGGATACAAGGAAGAACTGAATGAGGGATCAGAGATGAAGAAAATTCAGCACCGCTGAAGCAGAGCTTTCGATCAATTCATTGTGGACTTGACGGCCCGAAAACCTTGAAGTTTAAGGGAAATGTTGGGAAGGAAGTTTAGTTCTTGATGACAATGAGCCTCTCATAATTTCATCCACTAGCATGATAGAGGAGTTAAAAATTCCGGTAATTACCACAGCCCTTTGGAGTTGAGTAGCGATGGTTACCATGTTAGGTGTTTGTGGAATGTAAAGGAGTTGAGCTGAATTTGCAAGGCATCACCGTGGTCCAAAATTTCTTTCCTTTGAGATAAGTGAAGCTGATATATTTTAGGCGTGGCTTGGTTAGAAACCTTAGGAGACTATGATTAATTGGATGACATTGGTATGAAATTCAGCCTAACATATAAAGTGATCACTCTAAGGGAGATCCATCTTTCAGCAAGACAATGGTGTCCTCAAGGGACTTCTCACCACTACACACTCGACGCCATAGGGTATTGGATCCAATTCAACAGCCTGCACTCATAGTTAGATATAAAGAAGTGGAGGATTTAAGGGTCCTGGAACTGTTACAAACGTCATGATCCTTGTTTGAAGCCACCCCTAGACTTCCACCAGAGAGTATCCATGACCATGCCATCAGATTGGAACCTGGCAATAGACCACCCAACATTCGCCGTATCGATATCCTTACTATCAAAAAATGAGATTGAATGCATATCAAGGAAATGTTGGTATTAGCATCATCAAGCCTAGTAAAAAGCCATTTCTCAAGCCTGATGTTATTGTATGGAAAGAAGATGGGGGATGGCAGTTTCTTGTCAACTATAAACCCTGAACAAGATTACTACTCTTGACAGGTTCCCATTCCACTGTCGACGAACTGTTCGATGCTTAGGGGGGCCACAATCTTCTCCAAACTTGTCTTAAACCCAGGTACACCAAATCAAAGTAAGGGAAGGCGACACTTATCAACAACATTCAGGACACACGAGGGGCACTGCGAATTCCTAGTTATGCCATTTGGCCTCTCAAACGCTCCACAACCTTTTAAGCCTCATGAGCGACATTTTTAAACCTCACTTACGGCAGTTCATTTGTCTTTTTTCGACGATATCCTCGTTTACACACAAGCTTAGGGCTCATTTGATCATTGGATACACCTTTCAGTTTTGAGCAGCATCCAGGTTGTTAATAAGAAAATGCAAGTTTGCATAATCACAACTTGAGTAGCTCGAACATTAATTTCGGCTCAGGGGGTTGTTGTTGATCCTGCCAAAATAGAGTGTGTCCAAGCATGGCTGGTTTTGAAAGACATCAAGACATTATAGGGGTTTTTTGGATTGACAGGCGATTACCAAAAATTTGTGAAATTACGGGGCAAGAGCAAGACCACTAACTAATCTCCTCCGCAGAACGCATTCCACTGGACTGAATTAGTATAGTCAGCCTTTGAGCACCTCAAGCAACTCATGACTTCCTTTCCCGTCCCTACGATGCCAGACTTCTCAGAGACTTTATCATTGGAGCGATGCTTGGACCATGGTTTGGGCTGTTTTTAATGCAAGGGCCAACCTTTGGCATTCATTAGTCGGTTTATCTCCCAGTTTATATTGAAGTCAGTTTATGAAAAGGAGCTTATGCAATGTTTTGGGCAGTTCATAAATGGAAACATTGCTGTTTGGGTGACATTTCTTATTCGGACCGATCAGACGAGCCTTCATTACCTCAATGATCAGAGGCCGCAAGGAGAACAACAACAAAAATGGATTATCAAAGCTCTTGGGTTGGATTTCAAATTCACTACAAGTCAAGCCTGAAATAAAGTTCTGATGCTCTATCCAGACGAGGGCCTTATTGAGTATAATTAATTCCCCTTTGTTACTTTGGAAATCGATAAGAGTGGGAAGCTGTTCAGAAAGTTGTAAACTTCAAAATTTTGTCAAGAATTGATCATTAACCCCATAGTCATTCGCACTTCCGATTGGTGGGGAACCAATTATTTTATGATGATAGAATATCCTTCCACGATCCTGCTCTCAAGTGAAGCTTTTTCTCCAAGAATTTCATTCTTCACAATGGGGGTCACTCTGGGTTTTACCGCATTCTTCACCAATGGGGCCACTTTGATCAACATGAAGGACAACAAGCTGCAAGACAAGTGACCAGGAATTAATATGAAGGACAGGTGGTCTAATAGGTGGCCTGGGAGATTGTGGGGATTTGAGGAATCAACATGAAGAATGGGTGGCTTGACAAGTGGCCTGGGTAGTTGTTAGGAATTGTGAATAAAAGGGTAGGACATGTGTGTATGGGGGTATTCTAAATATTTGGGAAAAAGGGGTTTGGGAGGTACTGGCCCTCGAAGTCTAGTCGGCTCTTTCTTATTTCTGCATTATTCTTTTTGTACTGAATACTTTTTATGAGTATATTAATGCAAGTTGTCTTTTTCTTCCATTATTTGATTGGTTGGATTATTACTTCTTGTTATTTGTGGCTGGAAACATTGTGTACTATTGGAATTGCGGCTACTGTATTGCTTTTATTCTGTGTTGAGAGTGACAAGATCAAACGTACTCATCAACTGGTATCAGAGCTTAAGCTCACTAGGGCATGGTTAACACTAGGATGGAGGGGAGAGTTGACAATGTAGAGAGAGACATAACTAGGCTCACTGAAAGTGTTAACTCCATGAGGGAAATTTTAGTGGAGATGTAGAATTGGATGAGACAAAAGGATGAGGAAGAAGAACTGCAACACCGACAAGTAGTGCTAGAAGAAGGAGAACACGCTTAAAAACCCTAGTAAACCCCTAAAAGGTTCAATGTGGCCACAATAATGGCCACCCTTAGCCACAAAAATAGAGAAATTAAGCAACTAAAAAGAGGGAAAGAAGCCTTATCGGAATAAGAGAATAGGAAGAACTTGCTGGAAAGAGCACTATGATTGTGATGAAGCAGCAATAGAATAAGCAAAAGATGTCAAAGAATTTTCACAGGTTGAGTGAGTTTATGACAACTTCTTTTGCTTTTATAGTAGCTTGCATGGGAGACGAAAAGGCGGGGTTCGATTATAGCCATCAATCTACAGTGAATCCTGACCTTCCATTTATCAAGCAATCCTAGCCCTTGGATGTGGCCACATGTCAACTATCAGTGAGGGGCGATGAACCATCAGAGTGTTGTAATGATCATAACCATTGCCACACGTCACCTCAACTCTGCACATGGACAGTTGTAGTCACCCACGCGCGACGAAATGTGACTGCCAAAGATTGCCACATTTAATGTGACATGACCGCATGGAGTTTACATAATAGTCCTAACCATTCATATTCCAAGTTTTGTAGAAATCACAAGAGAGAGAAGATCCAAGTGTGAAGTACGTCGATTAGGCACTTAGAGCTCGACCGAACCTATGTTCGAAGACCTACTGATGATGCCGAGCTTGATATCAAATCGATTGATAGTCTTCAAAGCTCGAAACGGGCATCGAACACTAAGGGGTAGATGTTTTGTGTGATTTTTGCACCAAGCTCGGAGCATCGTGAGGATATGGTTCGACCCAAAACCAACTTGACTCCACCGATTGTCTGACCCAGCATAAGCTTGTCGAGCTATAGCTCGACCTAGTAGAAGCTAGTCACGAACAATCCGAGTGATCGTTCAACCAATTCCCAAATACCTTCAGATCCTAGATATCTCGAGAATGATCAGATTGACAACAATCTTTGCACAATCACAATGCCCAATCGTAAGAATATCGGAATTGCATTTCATTTTAATTGTAATCCCTTTATTTTTGCTATTTCCTTTGTACAAACTTTGTATATAAACCCCCTTAAATAATGAGAAAGAGGTTGAAAAATATTCCTAGAATTACTATTGTAAACTCTCACAGCAAATACAAAGAACAGTGGGCGTAGGCTCAAGAGTTCATCTTGCCGAACTACTTTAAAATCTTTTTTGCTATTTACTTTACTGCATCCATTATTCATTCATTGATGGTTATCTGTAATCACGCACACACCAGTTCCAACCCCGCCAAGGTCGATCGGAACTATATATATATATATATACCCTTAAAACTATAACATCTTTTGATTGAAGCATGCGAATTCTTTGACATGAATATTTGTGGAAGCTAGCTTGGATTTGGTCTACCCTATTGTCCTTATGCAAAACAAATACAACACTGTAGTTTGCAGGGATATTCTTAACACCCCTAGATTACCTAAAATTATCATTGTTAATATTGGGGATGATATTGCTACTTTATCAAATTTAGGGGGCGTAAAAAACTCTCCATAGTTTGCATGTTAAATTAAATTTCTCCAATTATATGAGGTTTGATAGGTTTATTATCTTAAATATTTACTGGTATTATTTGAAAATAATATATATAGTTTATATATATATATATATATAATTAGTTTTGGTTTGACGCAGACTCGCAGAGCGGCAGAGCTTGACTCAAAAGTTTCTACCCTCACGGCCTCACCACCAACATAGTGAAGCAGACATATTAAATGATCACAACTGCTTTCATGAACTCCATTAATGCACCCTCTCAACCACATTCAATTCAAAAACTCTTTTATAAGTATCTTTACTTGTCAGAGTTAGAGATTGAAGGTGGCAAAAAGGACAGAAGACTGTCAAAGAATGCCTACAAAAAGAGTTTGATAAAAGGGCAGAATTGACGACCGAAGAATATAAGCAAGAGAGAATTGTAATAGTATATTGTGTATTGTAACAAGTACATGAGCCAATTTATACAATGGCTTTGAATATAATAAAGGCAATGAAATAATACAGTAAAGGAAATGTAATAAACAAAATATTACAATGATCAATCAAATAATTGTAAATCAACCATTGCTTGATTCCAGCGTAAATATCTTCAGCATTCCATATTTTATCATTACTACATCATAACTCTTTTCATATCCAACCAAACCCACAAAGCTCTTCTGTTTCATCTTCTTTCTCTCAACAACACTACTCCTTAACTCCGTCACAATGGCAACCCAAGAAGTGGAGAAGAAATCACAAGACACAGTGACGGTGAAAGTCACCGGCAAAACCCACGTCAAGCCTGGCAAGATAATAGGAAGAAGAGAATGCCAATTGATTACCTTCGATCTTCCATATCTAGCTTTTTACTACAACCAGAAGCTGCTTCTTTATAACGGTAACGAAAAGTTCGACGCCATGGTTGAGAAACTCAAGGATGGGTTGAAGGTTGTTTTGGAAGAGTTTTATCAGCTGGCTGGGAAACTTGGAAAAGATGAAGAGGGAGTTTTTAGGGTGGAGTATGACGATGAAATGGAGGGCGTTGAGGTGAGTGAAGCGGTGGCTGAAGAGATCGGAGTGGATGATCTGACGGTGGAGGAGGGCACCAACAGTTTGAAGGACTTGATTCCTTACAACAATATCTTGAACTTGGAGGGTCTTCACAGGCCTCCATTGGCAATTCAGGTAAACTAAAAAAAATCTTTTCTTTATACATAAATGTTGTTTAGTTTCACGTTTTAGTTAATCAATGAATTTCATTTCTTAAACAAATTAAGATTATAATAACCAATCACTGATTACAGAGATCTTTCATCTCATTTAAGACTCTTGCTGTCAATTAAGTTGGTACACTATTTCTGTCTGTGATAAATGAGCTTCTTGGTAAGATGAAACACCTGTTATGTTAACCAATTGGCCACCATGCGACTGTTCACAACACTGATTCTGACAAATGTAGTCAAATTTTGTGTATGATAATTATGTCCTACACTTCGAAATTGAAATCCAAATAAGGTCCATCTTCCTAGTAGCAAAGGCATACATGGTTGGTCCAAATTAAATAAAAATATATAAAAGACAAATTTATAGATTAGGTACGAGTATGTGTGTATTTTTTTTTTTTTTTTCGATTGGAAGTGTCCCGGTTAACTTACGTGCATCTTAACTAATCCTCAAGACCCTGAAACGAACGATCGAGTAAATCCCTTTAATAACCACCGTTATTAGTATTTGGGAAAACGCAAATTCAGGAACTTATGTTGGATCCCCTTGCTCTTTTATAATTGGGCCACCTAGTGGTGGTTTACGAGTATGTCTGTTCTACCAATTTTTTTTTTTAAGATTCATGTTATGCAAAGAACGTATTATATGAGTATATTTTAATTTATATTTAAGTAATGCATCAGAAACTTATAGTTATGGGTAGTGAATAGTTATAGAACTATAGAGTAGGAGAAGTATAATTTGTAAAGGCATCAGCTTCCAACTTCAACCCACATCTTTAATACGAAGAAAGTAGTTAGCGACAATTACATGCGGACCAATATAGCAGGAAAATAACAATTTCATTCCTAAAATTTATAAACAGTTAACCAAAATGTTACTGAAATTTTTGTTAAGACTTAAATTACATAGACTAGATGTTGGGGATAAAATTGTTATTATCCCGACGATCAGTATAGCCTGGCTCTGAATTGGTGACCCACAATGGGTTGGTCTAGGGGTGGACAAAATTTTAAGGTAAAATTAGAACCGACGAGTGCTCGGGTGTTGGTTTTGGTTCCATCCCAGAATCGGCCATAACAGGGTAGATTTCGATTCCAATAAATTGGAGCCAATACTGTATAGTTTCGGTTCCTTTGATTTTGGGGACCCGCCCACCCCTAGGCTGGTCCATTATGATTTCACCCCATTTATTGCTGATTTAAAGTTTAAACCATTGGATTTGGATCCTATAAAAGCCTCGCTATCATTTTCCTTTTAATGCTTTAACTCGTTAGTTTTCAATCATGTGAGCCGTCTGATGTTGATCTACGTTTATCCTGTGGCCACTAACTTTTTATCTTTATCATGACCCCACAGCTAACTAAACTTAAGGATGGACTTGCAATTGGATGCGCCTTCAATCACGCGATCCTCGATGGCACTTCCACGTGGCATTTCATGAGCTCATGGGCCCAGATATGCAGTGGCTCTCCCTCAATTTCAGTCCCACCCTTTCTGGAGCGTACGAAAACTCGCGACACGCGCGTGAAGCTGGACCTCACACTTCCCCCTAACCCAAATGCTGACGGTGAGGCCAAGGTGGACCCACAGCTCAGAGAGAGACTATTCAAATTCTCAGAGGAAGCCATTGACAAAATCAAATCAAAAGTCAACTCTAACCCTCCATCGGACGGCTCAAAACCATTCTCAACATTTCAATCACTCTCTGTGCATATCTGGCGCCACGTCACCCAAGCACGTAACCTGAAACCAGAAGACTACACAGTCTTCACAGTGTTTGCTGATTGCCGGAAACGTGTGGACCCACCAATGCCCGAGAGTTACTTCGGAAACCTAATCCAGGCAATATTCACCGTCACGGCCGCAGGATTATTATCCGGGAATCCTCCGGAATTCGGTGCAGGTATGATACAAAAGGCTATAGAAATGCATAATGCGAAGGCTATTGATGAACGTAACAAAGAGTGGGAGAGAGCACCAAAGATCTTTCAGTTCAAGGATGCTGGAGTGAACTGCGTGGCGATGGGGAGCTCTCCGAGGTTTAAGGTTTACGATGTGGATTTTGGGTGGGGGAAACCAGAGAGTGTGAGGAGTGGATCGAATAACAGGTTTGATGGGATGGTGTATTTGTACCAGGGGAAGAGTGGAGGGAGAAGCATCGATGTGGAGATTACGTTGGAAACCGGTGCTCTGGAGAGGCTCGAGAAGGATAAGGAGTTTCTCATGGAGGTTTAATAACGTTTAGACAATATTTCAATTTGCATGAGAATTGAGATACCCAGTCTAAGTTTATTTGTTGTTTGTTTAATTAAGCTACGTTGCTTTTGCAATGACTTTTGCCATTTTTTACGTCTAGGGTTTGGTTATGATTGGAGTCTGATTGTCTCTTTTGAGCTAAGTTTCATGGATGAATGTTTTGTTGTGTTGGCTTCATAATAATAATATTAATATGATTTATCAACCCAAAAAAATTAAATAGAGTAGTACTCTTATCAATATTTCAATTTTTTTTTTTTCGTTTTATATTACAAAGCTATTTTCTTATATGCTAACATCATGATCATGATATTCGTATATTAAGGATGAGCAAGTGAATGATATTAAGGAGATCGTGGGCGTCGAAATTTTGGGGACATGTGGGTGCCGTAATTTTGCATTGGTCATGTTCATGGGGACGGCTAATTTCAGGTGGTTTCCCGATGCTGAAGTTAGCGTCGAAGAATACATCCATACACCAACGCATTTTAGGTCCTTTTTTCGCCCACACGACTGCGCATTGGCATAGTCTAAGAACTTCGACATCAACTTCTCGTATCGGGAAGATGCATCAGAGGATACATATTTTCCGGTAGTGATTTGATGGCATCATCAAGCCATTATTATTACTTGCATATATTTGTAAGTAGCAAGAACATATACTCTATTGAATTTCTTGTTGGTCTTTTTATATAATGTTATAAATTAACATGTGCAGATGTGCAGCTGGGTGGAATATGTTTCACATGAATTATATGCTACCACCACCGTATACATCAACAGCCGTCGTGGTGACCATTCATTATTTACATCTGCCTCTCTTTCACAACCATTGCCAGTTAACATACCGACCGGTACTAGCTTTAATTTGGCTGCCATTAATATATATATATATATAGAAGAAAACTAGAGACCTATTCGGCTAACCTGTTGCATTGTAACAAGATACTTGGCTAAATTATTGTAAGCTGCCCATAGAGAACACTAGTGTCGAAAGATATTTTGCTGGTGAACTTATTATGTTAACAGGTTTGATAACAATAAGAGGAGTTAATTTGAAAAACAGGCAGAGAATTAACTCCCTATTTTCCCTGGCAAGTATTTACACTTTTTTTCTTTTTCTTTTTTTGCTTGGATCCTTGAATATCACAATGTATTGAAAAATAACCCAAAGAGAAGTAAATTACAAGGGCTTTTGTCATTAAAAAATGTTTAAGTGATACTTTTGAGTGACAATATTTTGTAGTGACAATATTTTGTCATTTACAGGACATATCTTCAAGTAGAAAGGTTCTAAACTACACCAGTACAGATTCTAAAGATGGAAATTCTTGATAATCTACCTCGATATTTTTCGAAAATATAAAGCTAAAAGATATGAGAACATAACAGAAGTTACATATAATAGATATGAACCCACAAAATTCATTTGAACGAATGACTTAGTTTAGGGTATATTCCAGCCAAAACTCCTGTGCAAGTTAGTCACCCATTCATGGCCTAGAGGAAGTTCCTCTGAAAAGTTCCTGCAGAAAACCGGGAAGTCAAACCCTGAGTCATGTTTTCGGAATCAAGTTTTACATTTTGCCTCCCAGCAGTGAGGTCATTCTCACGATCCCAAGGCTTCCATGGATGTTGGCCAACCCACTCTTCTTTCTGTGTTGACTGTTTGGACTTTTTCTTTGTACGACTTCGAGCTTCTTCTTGGTGCTTTTGAACCAACGATTTTGAGCGTTTTTCTTTGTTGTATTTATCCACCAAATCTGCATCTGCGCTTGACCTTTTCTTTTCTTGTTCATTTGAAGCAAGTGCAGAAGCTTCATTGTATGCTTCCAAATAGCTGCATGTGACACAACAGTAAAATTAGCAAATATTAAATGTAAGTAATTACTGCAACAAACTAAATCAATCATTCTTAACATCAAAAAATTCTTACTTCATCTTCGCTTTCTGAGCTTTGTCAGAAGGGGTATCAGTCCAGACACTGGTATCACCACGACCTTCTTTAGTTCCCTTGCTGAATTTTGTTGATTGCATAGTCATGCCAGGCTGAGAAGAAAGAATAGGTAGTTATTAGAAAGGGCATTCAAATTTCGAAGAACAATAACAGCTAGGCAAAAGGAATACAGAAAAGTCTTACTTTCCTCTCAGGAGGTAGCGTTGTCATCCATTCATCCCTTTTTGGTGCCGTTTTAACTTCTACTTCTGCCAAGAGCTCATCATCACCCTCCATTGATATACCTGCCAGAGCAACAGTTTTTTACTTACAAAGCTTAAAGATTAAGAATAAACAATCAAAAGTATCATCAGTCCACAAATTCCGTTTCTCAACACCATGAAGCAAAATGTGGTATTTTATGATCATCAATTGAAAGTACTTAAAACCATATAAAGAGCACTGCCTGTACCAACATAGTACAGGCATCACATGATGCAGAATAAAAAAAGGACTAAATTTCATTATGTATTTCAGAGAGTACTTTACCATAGGAAGTTAGAGAGATTTTAGCCTTATTGTTAATTGTTGTTAAACTTGATTTTACTAATTATGTTTTCTTATATTATATTTAGCAAGACGAATATACTAATTATGAGGAAAACTGGTTTTCTACCCTCAACGAATATTTTTGAACCATATCTCTACAATAATTTGGTCTTTTAAGTTTTTTTTTTTCGTGACCTTGTCACTGCATCATTCAGTGTCATAATCTTGTACCATCTTACTAGTCCCCTCTAGCAACTACTCGAATAGACTAACAAGTTTTCCATAAATAAACAGCGAAGTGGATCCTCCAGTTTTGTACAAAAATGCAAAAACAACAAGTTTCTTGTATTTTACACCTGAGAGAGGCAGATTTGATGTCATAATCAGTTAAAAGGACACTCCATAATGGCACAAAAAAGCTAACCTTGCAATCTTCTCCACTGAGCAGCTTCACGCATTGCTTTCAACTCAACCTAGAGAATCAGAAAGCATATGTATTACATATAAGCCATTAAATAACTCCTCAAACTATATCAGTGCCAGTATATCAACAAAAAATGCAAACCTTAAATGCCTCCTGTTCTTCCTTGAGTTTAATTTTCTCATCCAGCACTTTACGCTGCAACAAGCAGAAAAGTCAGGAACAAATAAACAGATCAAACAGAGTCGTAATGATACCAAGCATATTAACAATCAAAGACTTCACCAAACCATATATTCAATATACCATATCAACAATAACAAGCATATGAAGACAGCGTAATTTGTTTTTTCCTTCAAACGGGGAAAAAAACATGTTGCTTAATTTACAAATAAAGGATTACATTTGCAACATCATATATATATGGAAGGCAATTTGTTTTATGAGAGCATTACATTATTAAGTTCTAGTCAGCAGAAGACAACAAACCAACAGATTGCAAGTTTGCAACAAATCAAAGCCGACGGATCCACTAAAGGGTGACAACCCTTTTGTGTCAATGACTTGTAAATCAACTCAAACAGCAATGAAAAAGAGTGTGACAAAAGACCACTGCTCCAGTGCAATATGCTTGAGTTATGCAGCATTTTCTAAAATTTACAAATGGCACAAGAAGAAGATATGAGGTACCCAATGAAATAGAATGCTGAGGTTCTCTCTGCTCTCCAGTTCCAGCCATAGATTTAAAAACTTAGGCAAAATCAAGCTGACAAAGACTCGTTTATTAACTCAGCAAAATGCATTTATGAAAAGCTCCTACATCAAATCATATCAATACTTAAGCAACTTTACAATAGCCTTAAAAATTATGAATAATAATCTGAATATAGATACTGATCTCGTAAAGCGGTTAAAAAGAGAATGATCCAACAAAAGGACATATCCAGTTGGAAGTCTCTCTAACTCAGTTTTACGGTTTAGTTGTAAAGAGATAAACATGTAAATTCAGACGGCTTTTGATGTAAAAGCAGGACACCATTCTGGAGGTTTACATGGCAAAGCCGCATGTATCCCTTATTAATTATCATGGATACCTTCCACAAATTATTTGAATTTCTAATATTGGAGTTAGACAAGTGATGCCCTTTTTCTGACAAATGTTATTCAGATAACTGGTACTGATTTCTCAAAAGTAGTCCCTCTCTTGGTTCTAAACCCCTTATTATACATTTGATATTAAATAGAGATAGTACTTTGACAAAAGAGGAAGTTCAAGGGCTGGAGATGTGTCTAGAACCTGGCAGATTAATTTTGCCAGATATTTCAGCAAACCACAGGATTTGCACTGAAAAGCTTCTGATCATTGATCAAAACAGAGTTTCAAAATCATAATGATCATCTGATTCAGTGATTGACTCTAAATTTAACTTGAATAAGAATTATCTAAGACTGTTTGTGTAAGCATTTTTCTCTTTCTTTTACACCAGAGAAAGGAATGCTGCAACACCCACAAAGAGATGAAAATCAATATACAGAGTTTCATAAAATTGTTTTTAATCCAACATTAACTCAGAATTGCAACCAGTTTTCCACGCATTGGTGATGAATCATGCCAGAAGGAATTTTTCTTTCTTATATTTTCTCTTTCAGCTTAAATTTTGACAAAATAAATATAATTTCTTCTGTGCATCCTCAGGTTTGGTCATTGCTGTTAAGGTAAAATTACACCTCCATATTTGAACTGTGATTACACTATTTGTTTACAAGGGAACTATCTATATGCAAATCCTACAGCAAAACTGGGGTACCCTACAAGCCAAAATGCCTACAAATATCCAATTATTTAGGATCAGTCAATCACGTAAGAAAAATCAGGTACGAAACATCTACGCATATTTATACCACACCCAAGGCTCATTCCATCACCATATAGCAATCAAGATATACTAATTACTGCTGACACTGAAGCGAACGACAACAAGATTAATCTATGTGCCTAAAGTCAGACTAATTCTTCGATTCAAGCAATTAAAAAATCCCAAATAACAAAAAAATAAAAGAGATTTAAGCAAACAAAGACATCTTTATCTTCAGACAGAAACCATGGCAGCATGAGAAACTCACCTTTTCTGGATCCTGTATTTCTTTAAAAGCTTTATTCAATATAATGAAAGCTTGGTGTGCTTGAGGATGAGGGCACTTGTCTGGATGAACCAAGAGAGAGAGCTTCCAGTACCTGGTGATATCATAGCACAATTCTTCAACAATGTACACTCACGAATATGATGGAAAGATTAGGTAACAGCAAAACATTATGTTCATTAACTAAAACAATGATGGCAGGTGACTGCAACTCAGTTTTCATTATGTTAATAGAATAAGTCATTACTCAAATTGCCAGAAAAATATTATTGTGGGGTATGATTCACCTCCCAAGATTTAATTTTCTGTTCAACTATACTCTTAGCATTGAAGTAGAAACACAGACATTAGATAGGGACAAAATTTTGCTGGTAACAAAACTGTCGATGAAAATATTCCCTGAAAAGCATCTTTGCATTATTTCCATTCAATTTTTTTAAAACAATTGGACAAAATCATAAAATAGTCAAACACCAGGGGCAGGTCAATGTAGAGCCATACTATTTGCAACCTATGACTCAAAAGTCATGACAAAGAAAACTTTCATGTCTTAACCAGTGTATCTGTTGCAGGGCAAAGATATTATGACATGTAATCACAGATATCAAAATATCACAAGAAAAGCTTTGGAACTAGCTCCCTTTTTCACAGAGCAAGCAAAAAAATTGCAAGAGTATGATTGGTACATATATAGTAAGGTAAAATCTATATTCAATCAAATGATAATCAGCAGCCTTACTTTTTCTTTATATTATTAATTGGCGTATGTTGGTTTGCTCCGATCACATCATATGGGGAATCAGCCTCAACTCCCATAATTCTTGTCACCTAACCAAAACAACATGAAAAAAGAAAAAAGATTACTCATGCATTTAAAAGATCTATTTAATGGACTAATCAACAAATAGAATACTTATAAAAAAGAATAAAAACCTCTACAAAGTATTAATTACAAAACATTCTAATCATATGCAACATGCATAAAGTAAAAAACCTCTTCGAAACGCTCTGCCTCATTCGCTGATTCAGCTTCAGCAACCACTGCAGGTGGTGGTGGTCCTACAAACAGTTCAGTATCTTCCTCCAACTCAGCTTCTCTGAAATTAATTTGTCAGAAAACACCAAATTGGAGTTACATCAACAAGTACTTATATTTTCATACAACAAAGTAGTGTACACTGTCTGTCCCCAGCAAATCCAAAGATAGAAACCTAAATAATCACAAGAAAATGTAATATAAAAAATGCACCTGAGTTCAGCTTGGGCTTCAGTTAATTTGGCTGCTGCAGCAAGCAACTCAGCTGATGGCATTTCAGGGCCAATCACCCTGCAATGAGAAGCAAGACCAATCAGTATTTTTAGCAACTTCTAAAGAGCATAATGTGTACCAACAAACAACTGAGTCATCATATACATAATGTGATGGACTTGCATGCATTGTAGCTTTTAATCAACTACTATTGTTTTAAGTTTGAGTTTTAGAACATTTTTTATTAGTATTTCAAAATAAATCCAAAAGCTAAGAACAGGAAGTCTTTTCATACTTGATACTTGTTCACAATGGAGATATTGCAGTGAGTGACATAAGTTTTGCTTATTATATAAAAACCACACTGTGCCACCCAAACAGCCACAAACCTAACAATTCTTAGATATAAATCTGAAAATTCAAGCAAGTTATACGAGGATTTGTTACACTAGCTATCATCTTCTTCTCTTTATTTCCTATCTTCTGAGACTGTATAAAAGCCTCCTACTAATTACCAGCCAAGACAAAACACTTCCACTCAACTCCAGCTTCCTTTGGCAAATATAGCTGGCTGCATGAGGTCTGCTTTAAGAGACCTAATTCCTACATTTCTCGACAACTATTCCCACAATTGAAAACATTCAAAGTTCAGCCCACTATAATAGCCAGTTTATTAAGCATGCACAAGCTATATACAAAAGAAACATTCATGCAGCCAAACATATATAAACAAAATGTCAAATCCTTTAAACATTGTGATTTTCAAGTCAAGTAACATAATCCTATAGTCACCTTCTTTTAGGACCACAAGAATCATCCCTTGGACTTGGCATCTCCAAACGACTATCATCTTTTCCTTGTCTATCTTCAGCCTCCGGTAATTCTGAATGTGCTCGTTCCACGGACGCAGAAGGATCAACTTGCTGTTCTTTCGAATTCATATGAGCCTGAATGATGAATCCAACAACATCCAAAACCGGAGGAGCATTTGCCTGCCTTAAAAACACTCCATCCCCACTCTCCTTCAAATTCAACGAAACAAACAGCTTCCTCAAACACTTACTCAAAGACCTCTCAGATATCCCTCGTATGTCAACTGCTTGCCCATCATCAATCATTTGCAGGAGCTACAATATACAAAAAAGAACAAATTTTTAAGTAAAAAAATTATTATTTTTCCACAGAACAACTTCTGAAACTCAAAATTTACCTGTATCAAATCGCTTCCAACGTTAGCGAACTCACTTAGCATATTACGCACAACTTCTTCGGGCACCATCCTAGACCTCTCTGTTTCGGAATCCGACCCTGACAAGTCATCAGTGGACGCATGATCCCTCTTCCTCTTCACCTCTCTTCTCAATTTTTTTCTGCTTCTCTCCTTTTCACGCTCCCTCTTCTTCCTCTTCTCTCTCTCCCTCTCCCTCTCCCTCCTCGAGCTCTCGTCCCCTCTTTTCCGTTCTTTCCGGTGTCTCCGCCGCCTTCTCAGCGAAGAATCGGAATCGTCGGATCTGGACGGAGAAGAAGACGATGAGGGCGTGTCATCCTCGCGCTTCTTCCTGCTTCGCTTCCCCATCTTTGATTTGGCGAACACCTGAATAGAAGAAATTAAGCTAAGATTTTCAAAAAATTAATTACGCTACGGTTTCTGAGTTGAAATCGTATTTTATGCTGAGTTGATTAGGATTTCTTAACATGAGTTCGTGGGGATGAAAGCCGTTCTGTTTCAGCGAGGAAGGAGTTTTTTTTTTTTTTCCTGATGATTCGTTGAGGGGCAAAATAGAGATACTAAATTGTTTTAGGGCTATTTTTGTCTTTAAACTAAAAGTGCTACAGTAATTTCGTTATGGTCTTACTAGATATGAAAATAACCTTTTTTTGTTTTTTTTTTGGAAAAGACTGGAAATAATAATTTAAGAACCTTTTTTTTTTAATTATTTTGATTAGGATTTTTTTATTATTCGATCTTTTCCTGAATCCATATTAGGAACAGATTGCATTTTACATGCTTTCATATCTATTGATCACCTAATACAAAATAAACACTAATGAAATAAAATTGATTAATAATTAAAACTAGAAATTATAAATTTAGAGGATAATATATATCTATTTATCACAATTTATTGTGAAATCCCACTTTTACCCCTTTTGTTAGAGTATACAGACAATGGATGTCAAGTTTTAAAAAAAAGGTAAATATTTTTTTTTTTTGACAAAGGTTATTATATATACCTTTTCTTTCTTCTTTTTTCTTTAATCATGAAGATAATTCCCAAAAAATGGTGGTATTTGTTAGCAATAACATTAATGGAGACGGTTAATCAATATAGAATTGATCCGAATTCAAATGGGTACATAAGAAATCGCTTTATCAAGAGTGTTTTAAATCTTACATGTGTCTATCGATTATCGAAAACATAAAGTTGTTCATTGAAAATACAAAATTGTTATATATGACTTGTTTAATACAAGCTAAAAAAAAGTGTACAGGATGAAAAAATCTAGAATATCACTATCATATATCAATCATCTTACAAACTAATACTTAATATCATTTTTAAATATTTTTCTTTTTTCTCTCATCTATCTTTATAGAATGTGATTTATGGTAAATTAATACTATAAAACTCTTTTACATTTTCTTATCCAAACAATTAACAAAATTTTGTACTATAATATGTCCTTTGTCTATAAATTCTACTCGAATAAACAAAGTACCAAACAGACTGTAAGTCTAAGAATGCGTTTGATTCTACCAATTATATCTTAAATCTAATTTGATTTATTTTTTTGATTGTTAGTTTTACATTTTTTTTTTTAAATTATCACTTACTTTTAGAAAAATTTATTGAATCAAATAAGTAAAATGTTATTACTTAAATCTAAAACATGAAGACTTTTTATAAACAAATAAACTTAATTACTTAAAATACCGTTAGTCATAATAGATTTAAACTTAAATAAAAAATTCTAAAAGAAAAACTTATAATTTATTTTATTTCAATTAATTTTAAATTAACTTACTTTAATTAATTATTTAAGCTTTCGGTTGTCGGAATTCGATTGACGGTGGCTGGATTCGACAATCAAAAAATGTTTCGGTAAGGTTAGGTAACAATACTAGTATCAAAATTATCATCTTTCAATGTTGTATCTATATCTACCAATTTTTTTATTTTTTTAACGCAGAGATGCAAATTTGGTTGGGACTTCGACCAAAAAAGTTCAAGTGACCACACTTTATCGGTTATATACTTTAGTCAAATGCCACCTACCTTTATTTTAGATAAAAATTATGTGGATGAATAAATAGTTCAAAAACGATCATTTTGACATCATTACACTCCTATTAGAGTTAATATTCCCCTTTAAAATATATATAAAAATAGTTACTTATGTTTCCAATTCTTCTTGTGTAACTTGGCCTAAACAAGCCTGTGCCAATCAAGTATTGTGCATCCATGAGCATCCAAAGGGTCTCCTCATATACTCCTACTTGTACTTCTCATACGAAGTACGACGTCAGAGGTGAAGACACTCCAAAGACCTTCACAAATCATCTATATTCTGCTTTGATTCGAAAATGTTTTTAGAGATGATGAAGAACTTGAGAGAGGAAAGTCCATTTCACTATAGCTCCTTAAAACAATTGAAGAAGCAACATTTTCTATTATCGTCTTCCAAAAAACTAAGCTTCTTCCACTTGGTGCTTGTAAGATATTTGCTAAGATTATTGAATGTAAGAACACAAGGGGACAAAGTATTTTTCCCATTTTTTGTAAATTGGATCCATCTATAGTAAGGAAACAAACAAGAGCATTTCAAGATGCCTTTGCTAAACACGAAGAAACTTTTTAGTAAGAATAAACAAAAGATTCAAATATGGAGGAATGCTTTAATAGAGGTTGCCAATATCTCTAGATGGAATGCCAATGACAGGTATTAGTTTTTTTTTTTTAATTCTATAAATATGTCATAACCAGAGACAGAGAGAAGGATGGTAGATTTAAATATTTTTTTTTGACAAGTTTTACAAATTTTCCCCTAAATGAAAAGTAAATTACACAAAAACTCAAATCCATCAAATACGTTAAACTCTCATTTTTCTTTTTGGGCTGTCAAAACGAAACTCCCCTTTCTCTACTTCCCAAGCCTGTTCTTTCTCTATATCCATACAAATGCAGTTTTCTCCCACACATCAAGCCAACAAGCCTCATTTTTCTTCAATTTGTAAGGTAATACTAATACATTTTATATTTATATTCTTTTATTTTGAAAGTTTAAGGTTAAATTATATATTAGGATTTAAGAATATGAAATTGTCATTGGGACCACAAATTGTACCCATTTTCTTATTTGATGATATATTGAAGTTAGAAGAAGTAAGAACATATTTTTTAAGTTATTTTGGAGTTGGCCTTGGGACTATTAACATGTATTGGCCGATTTTGTGTTGTTTTTTTTTTCTTTTATAGAGAAGATGGGTTCTTGGGATCACATTGTTTCACCCATTTTTATATTTGTTAGAAAAAAAAAAAATGTTTGATTCAAATGTGAGTTAACTTTAATTGTTTTACAAGTGTTATGAAGAAGTGGATTTAATTGTATAAGTGTTTGGTTATTTGAATGAATTTTTTACACATATCAATTTAATTTTAGCCAATGTATATAATGTAAGATCTATTTGAAAAAAATATTACATTAAGATATATTTCAATTCAATTTCTATTACTTTAATTTTTTTTTAAAGTATTTAAAAATTAGAAAAAGAAAGAAATATAGTTGTGATGTGTATGTGTTGTTAGAATACTTTAACTTATTAGCTTTATAAATTTTTATAGTATACACTTATATTAATAATTATTATTATATATATACATAGATTATTATTATTGTTTGGTTTGTATTTAGTAAATAATTATTTTGTTGCATTTTAATCTATCAAGTAATAATATATTGTTGTTTTGAAATAGTATGAAGAGATATGTAAAAAAAAAAAGTCACCAATAATCTCATCATTTGAACAAAAGGAAAATATTGGTGATTCAAGTAAAAGTGTGGATGTTGATTTGCGAGATCTTCCTATGGATCCATGCTTAAGACCTCGAATCTTAAATTATGATCCTAATATTCAAGATCAAATCTGAAGAATATATTTGGAAAGGGGTCCTTGTCAACCTAAGGGCCATGAGTTTCCTTCTAAAAATTTTGGTGATTTTGAAGATGATTTAATGTTTATTAATTTAATGAGTTTGAACAATGGTTGAAATATAGTGTAGCGAAAAATGTTGTATTTTGTCTTTATTGATATTTTTTTAAGCTAGATGGTGATTAGACTTGGCAAACAGGTGGGTTGGGCGGGAAGGATATGGGTAACGACGAGTATAGGTAAAATGGGTAAAAAATATAAATGGGTAAGGAAATATAACACCCATACCCGGCCTTGCGGGTGCGGGTGGACCCGCGTGTCACCCATTTTTCCCAAATATTTTTTTTTATCTTTTTTTTATTTTTAAAGAGGTGATTGTGATAAATCCATCGCCTTTCTTTGTCAAAGCTTAGCCCACCTTTCCATTTGTTTCTTGGTTCTTTTGCTTGTTGATTGTAGCTCACAGATCTTTTTTCTTTTGAAGAAATAATTTTAGTTTGATGTTAAATCCCAACAACCTTTCTCTTCCTTCTTCTTCAGACAAATCCACTTTCTCTCCCTTCTTCTTCAAACAAATCCACTTTCTCTTCCTCTTTTCCAACAACCTCCTTAGAAGCGGAAAAAGAACTTGTTCCGGAGAGTACAAATACGAAAAGCAGAGAACTAGAACTAGGTATGCTAGAAGATGAAGAAGAAGATCTTAGGTTCTCAGATGTTGGAATTAGTGATGATTTCCTTGTGGGTTGGCAGCTCTATGCTGGAATGCTTAACTAGTGCCATTTATTTCCCTCGAAATAGGTACAAGCGCTTCATCTACATCTGGGTTCATATCTAGCTTTTGATCTAGAAATTAAGGGGGTTTGCTAACCTCTCTACTAGGAATGAATTTATGAATCTTTGCAGAATTCATAAAGCCTATGATTGATATTTTGTCTATTTCTAATTCCTTTTGTAGAGGGATTTCAATTCATTGTGGGTACATATATGTTCTTTGTGGGTAAAATTTCAATTTATATCATAACAACTTATATCAAATGAACCCTAATGCCTAATTTATTGTAATTGTATTTTTTTTTATTTAGTGCGAATACCCGAAAATATCACCTAACCCACCCGTTAATTTCACAAGTGGGCCAAGTATAGGTAATAACCACACGGGTCCTAAATATATTAGCCTATACCTGCAAAAATTATCCTAGTATGGGAAGATTGCGGGTAAATGACCCATTTTGCCTAGTCTAATGGTGATAAAAGGGGTGGTGATTGCTTTGTTGGTCAAGGGTTTTCAACTTAGAAAAAGAAAGAAAAATTGAATGAAGATTCCAATGTTGTTTCTCGAGCTTCATACAACCAAGGAATTTTCTCAAGCTTCTACGATTTCTTGCTAATCATAATTAAGATTCCAATGTTGTTTCTTTCAAGAATGTTCCTAATAATCTGAAATTAACATCACCTAAGATTCAAAAAGACATTGTAAGTGTTGTTTCAATCGAAATAGTAAGTGCTATCATTATAGATAAGGAGATTTATTATTTGCTAT